AAATAAATATGAATTTTTATTTACTTTGTTAAAATATTTACCTCTTCAAAGATTAGTAGCAGAAAAAGTTTGCAAACAATGACACCAGGTATAGGCCAGCTAAAGAGTAAGATCCCAAACTATACCAGGTAATTGCAGCAAGATTAGTGTAAACCAAATGCATTTATTATTTGAAACTTAATCCAATATACTAAGAGATGGCATGTGCTTTATTTTAATTAGCTGTTTCTTTTAAAGGGTTGCTTGCTCCAACTGTCTTGATAAGAAAAAATTGTAGTCATTGCTCAAAATGCTTGTAGCAAATCTAGTTTTAAATTGAAACAATTTATTCTGAAAGCAGTCTACTACTGCAACAATAATCAATGTGTTTTCCCTTAGCCCATACTGGAGCTTTCCAAGGACTATTGTTAATTGCCTGTAACTAAACGACTGCTGGTGCCCTTAAATGGAACTCTTTGGCACTTGTTCATTTGTTGTGTTTAACCAAATGCCAGTTTCCCCTAGGTTTTGCCTAGTGATTTTGCTTTACAATTTTCAATATTCAGTCTCAGTCCCTTAAAGGGGGCAGAGTCTATCATTTTAATAAAATAACACAAAGGCTAAACAGATTTTAAAAGGTCTGCACTTTCTCTTTCCATCCTCAGATGTTGAATTGTGCTGAAATGGAATCTTTTTATTTTTTAAATGCTGCCACTCCAGGCAACTTGAACTAGAGCTAAAAAGCAGATCCCATTTCAAAGAGAAAATGACATTTGCTGGGGCAACACCATTCACATTGTAATGTAAAGATAAAATACAGCAGTGGGCCCAAATCATTTCTTTTAACTGTGACAGAATTTAACTCCTAGTAATTTTGTCCTGACCCAATGGATAAGCAATAATTGGTAGGACTCATGTTAATGAATGTGTACAGCTTGGAGCAAAAGAATATAGAGACTAAGTCTCATGTACCATTTTCTTTGGGATGGTTTATACATGCTGTATAAACCAACATGACTGACTTTAATCAAATGGAAAAAATTTTAATCTGTACCTATTTATAAAATGTAGGCATGTATATTATACTCTTGCATAAAAAGAATGTAGTAACTGAGGAGCAGGACTGGTGGTTCATTCTTCACCCTCTTATAAGGACATTGTAATAATACCATGCTTCCGTGTGTAATACTAGAGAAAGATCTGGGGGAAAACAGAGACTCAGGATCTCAGGATGAATTAGCTTTTTGTAAATGCTGTTTCTTTGGACCAGTTTTTGCTGTTCTTATTTGTAAATGACAATTCATGGCTCAGAAGGATTATGCTTGCTTATTGCTCACTGTCTAGGTATATATTAATATGACTTTACATATATTTGTACCTTAAAGGAGTTATTCAAGTGACATAAGACCATAAGACCATTTCTGTAATAGCTAAGCTCCATGAACCCTACTCTCTTTTTCTTAACCCCATTTCAGACACTATTATTGATTGGCTACATAAATAGAGTACTCTAGGCAGTGTATATAATTTTTTCAATGACTCATGACATTTTGCAATGAGAGTAACTCACAATTGGTCAGTAACTTCTTTAAAAATATGAAGGACTTATACTTTCGCACATTTTTTTCTCTAATTTATGTGTTTTTAATTTCTAAAAATTAAAAAAGAACTATGTAGAGAGCAATATTATAATTACCCTGTGAAGAAAATTAGAGTTCTGTTTATTAGATTGAAGGTTTCAGACATAGATTTTGATTGCTTCCAAAACTATTTGACTAAATATGGGCACTTCAGGCATGCTAGACAGCCAGTAGTGGCACCAAGCCTCCAGATGCAAAGGGTATGCTTTGAGACATTATAGGAGAATAATGCCTTGCCTGGACAGTTACTCAGAACAGACCAAGTGTCCTGACTCTCTAATTCCTTTAGAATTTCTCCCCACATTAGCCTTGAGTTAGGACTTATAATTTTTAAGGAAATTTATAAAGAATTCAAGTATGATTACCAAAATATGAAATGTGTAGATCTTAAGTATTTAGCTCAGTAAGTTTTGACAAATGCATGCACTTGTATATCCGCACCTAAAATGAGTTAAAGAATATCGCCCCCTCCCACAAAAGAGAATTTTCCCATTACTCCAGAAAGCTCCCTCTTGTACCTTTCTAATACATTTACCTTTCAACCATCCCCAAATAATCCATTTTCTATTTAAATGAGTATGAATTATTTTGATCTGTTCTTAATTTAAATAGAATCACACAACAGGTATTACTTTGTGTCTGGCTTCCTGAACCTGAACATAGTTTTGTGAAGTTTATGCATTTTGTGTGTATCACTAGTTCATTCTTTTTATTGCTGAGTATATTCTTTTGTATAGGCATACAACAGTTCATTATCTCCTATTAATGGACATTAGGGTTATTTCCCATTGTGGCTACTAGGAGTTTGAATACTGTGATTACTCTGAACATTATGGTAGCAGGTCTTATTTCAGATATCTGCTTATATTGCTTATGGGTAAATACCTAGGAGTGCTATTACTGTTCATAGGGTAGATTTATATTTGATCTGATTAGGACAAAAATTTTTCCCAATGTAATTATACCATTGAATACTACTCTTACTAGCAATGTTTAGAAATGGAAGTTCTAGATTATTATTTTTTCTCATTTCTTGTGCAAAAAAATTTTGAGTGGCTGGGACCAGTGGATGGTATAATGGTTATGTTGCTGGACTTCCACATACTTGATTGCAGTTCAAGTCCCAGACCTAGTGGCTTAAAACTCACCGCAGGCATGTATGCATGCATGCCCAAAATCCCAAGAGGAGAATGGAGGAGAAGGGATTATAGCAGGCCATCACCGCTACGAGGTGATTTCTTGTTTTCTCTCTGTCTCTCTGTGTGTCTCCAGGGAGTGCACATACCCTATAGAAAAGAAAAAAATCTATCTAAAAAAAATTAGAGTGATAAATTCCAAGTGCTTAGCATACTAAATTGGAAAACAGAATGAATCTTGAAGGAAACCATATTCTAAATGCATATGTCTCTTATCATAACCACTGTATTTTAAATCAGGTTTTTATCCTGTATATATCAGTCTATGGACCTAAGTTAGAATAGTGTGGTGCAGTTTAACTCATATCCTGAAAGAACAAGGTCCAATGTACCCCATAGTATTATCCACTCATGTATCCTTTCTGTTCACATAACAGGGTAAAAACATATGAAAAATGTTTTGTATTTTATTCCTCCTATTGTGGCAGTCTTGTTATCTGTGGTTCCTCACAAGGTTCAGCAAATGAAGTTACTAAAAGTATTTTTCAGTATTTCATACTTCATACTAATTTACTTAGATTCTAAAAGATTCAATAACTCACTTTATTTTCTCTTTCTTAAATTCATAAAGTCTAATCACTTTTAATAAAATCCTACCATTTAATTCTAATAAGTGCAGAAAAATGCACTTGATTAAATGATAGTTATATTTTTAATTAAACTGTTGAATTAAGAATGGAAGACTAGATAATGAGAAATATGATTGAGATTTTTTCTGTAATTATTACAGGAAAAGTGGCATCACCTGCAAACAAACTCACACAATGATGTTCGTGTGAGAAAATGATGGCAACATTGTCCAGATTATTTACCATGAATTTTGCACTGCCCCCATCATCATTTCACCCCATTTGTGAGAACTCAAGAGTGATTTTATAACCTAAGAGTACTTGTTACTTCAAAACCATGGATTATTTTGAAGTTCTCAGTCTATGCTTACATCAAATGAGTTACAAAATTAGGTAACCTGTAGGTGGGTTCTAAATTATAGTACCAAAATATTATTATTTTGAGCTTCAATTTCAATAATATTTACATATAATGGTAGTTAAGGAAACTAGTACCAGTCAAATTAGTTGTTAGCTACAGGGAATAAGGGTTACTCATCCGTAACAACATTGGAACTGTGATCAAGGACAGCATGCATACACAAGCACTTAGTTAAACTGAGTTTCAAAATCTGTGCACAGGGCTTGCCATTTAAATACCAGTAACCTTAATTTTGTTACAATATCTGTAAGCTGTTAAGGAGAAAAGTGAAATAAATATTTTATCCTAAATTTGCCTGATAATAATTTTATGTAATATAGACATTCCATAGGAAAAGGAGAACTTATATATAATAGTGTCAGCAAAATTCCTCTTATGAATAAAACATATTAACATGCCTAGTAAGGGGGAAGCAAAGAAAAAGAAAAAACATGTAAATAGCTCAATTAAAGGCAATACTTCCAGTATATTCTGTTGTAACATTCACTAAAGGGCCTACTTCTTAAGCTCAGGCAAGCATTCAGCCTCCAGAACTCTGGTAGACCACCTTAGTGCCTCTCTATTCAGATATACTAGAAGAAACATTGCTCAGTGCAGAGTCAGCAGAAACCATTCATTAGGTAGTCCCCCCAACACTCTGCATCAGTCCACAGTATCCTCCAGGAACTGCAGTGTTAGATCCCTCACCTCCTTCAGCTCCAAGCTCCCCACCCCTGGGTGACAGCTCAGGTGAGCAGGATCAAGATTCATATTGACTGAGTACAGAAGCTGTCTCAGCTTAAAAGCTTTCTATCTAAAGAGCTTGTATTTCTTTTTATCAACCCCATAAGTATGGCTTGCAGGATCCACAAGGGATATGTTTATATATGATTTACTGCTCTTAGGCAAACCCAATATTATAGTTTCCGATCAGGTATTTATAATTCTCTCACTCCAAATGCAATCTACCAACCAAGGTTCATTTTTACCATAAGCAATGTTGCTTAGCAACATAGTTACCACATACTACCTTATCTGGTTTCCAAGGAAACAGAACTAAAAAGTTATGGAAAGGTCAAATTCTCATGCAAAAAAGGGAAGAGGTTGTGTTAAGCCATTATCCACATCTGGTCTCATCCAGAAAAACATGAAATTAAGCTGAAGTTATGATTTTGGATGTGAACATTGTATAATTCCTTGTGATTTTTTTTTCTAGAGCTAATGTACACAGTTGAACTTGCTGGAGGGCTTGGTGCTATCCTCTTGCTGCTTGTTTGTTTGGTGACCATCTACAAGTGTTACAAGATAGAAATCATGCTCTTCTACAGGAATCATTTCGGAGCTGAAGAACTAGATGGAGGTAAGATGAGGTCCTTCTTTTATAGATCTTTCTGAATATTCTTGTTTATTACCCTTGTGCTATTAAGGAGAAAGAAGAGTTACCTGTATAACCATTGGCAGCAGCTCTTAAAATCTTCGAATGTTCAGTTTGTAAATGCATTTATTTACATACAGAAATACATGTGTGATGTTTTGGAGCCAACAGGTATTTCCTATGAAAATTGTAAAGCAACACCTACCCTTTTTAGAACTGCAATTCAAATAGCACTTACAAATTACAGACACTGATTGCAATGCCATGAGAGTGTTCATTTTTTTCTCTCCTTGTAATCAGTACTGAAAGGCTAGCTCTACTTTTCTATAGGTAAGGAGTGTCTCCTTTAATTGTGCTCCCTAGCACAGTAGTTTAAAGTGAATCTCAATTTGTTCCTGTTTAGATTGATCAGTTATTATAAACTATACTGATATTTTAGAATTCATTCAATAGTCTTTTGATCTTGTTTATTTAGCTATATTTAGACAGGCTAATTTTTATTCCAAGTGTGAACCAACAGAAAGAAAAGTACACAAGTACAATGCATTGTATTCATAATAATACATCTAATATTTTTACTCCAGTTGGACAAGTAAATATTATTTTCATGGAAGTCATAATTAGTAATTGTTAATGGACAGCATGAGAACAATGTTAATAGAAAATGCATATTACGAAAAAACTATGCATGGATTTCATTTTTTTAATTGCCAGAAAATGAATACACTAACCAGAGAGAGAGAGAAAGATACAGACAGAGGGAGAAAGAGAAAGCACCCATAGGGGCCAACAGGTGACATAGTGGTTAAGACACTAGACTCCTTCATGGCCAACTGTAGTTTGGGTTCTGGATCTGGCAGCTTGAAAATCATACTGGGCACTTATCCATGCATACCCAAAATCTCAAGAGGAGAGAAGAACGGAGAAGGAATTGCAGCATTGTCATCCCCCTTAGGGATGGTGATTTCTTACTTATATCTCACTGTTTCTGTCTCTCTCCAGAGAGCACAGGTGCCCTATGACAAAGAGAGAGAGAGAGAGAAAGCACCCCTCAATGGAGAATGGTAGTCTTGCTACACTTATTTCTTCTCCATTTTTCTATCCTGTCCGGATTCTGGGCACATATGCACATGCACTCTGTGAGTTTTTCAAGCTGCTGAGGCCAGGATTTGACTAGGATGGTCAACCATGTAGAATCTGGCTCCCTTAACTGCTAGGCCATAGAGCTGGCTTTAGATTTTTTTTTTTTTTGCACCAAAATTAACTTGTATTTTAGTTCCATTTTCTCACGAACTTTTTGAAGTCCCTTGTATGTGTAAAGTTTAACAGGAATTTTATGTCCTTAAAATTCCTAAAAATTTTAGAGCTATTTAAGGGTCCTAAACTGGGACCAGCAGATGGCATAGCAGTTACATCGCTGGACTCCAACATAGCTGACCACAGTTTGAGTCCTGGCCCTGGTGGCTTGGAAAATCACACTGGGTGCATATGCATGAGTGATCAAGATCCCAGTAAGAGAATGAGAAGGAATTACATAGTGGCTATTCCCCCTGGGGGGGTGATTTTTCACTTTCCCTCTCACTGTCTCTGTCTCTCTCTCACTCTCTCTCGAGCGAACACACATGCCCTAAGGCAAAACTTCTTGAAAAATAAATAAATAAAGGTCCTAAACTGCCCATTAGAGGACTCAAGTTTTATTCATTTTTTTTCAGTCACTTGAAAAGCATAACATAAGCTCACAGTCTAGGAAGTGTATGCAAACTGTTAGTGAGTGGTGTGGGAGATAAAGAATTCTTAATCATATTTACAAAGTTTTTCCTTTCATCAACTATCAGTTTTGCACTAAATGATACAAAGGAAAATGAAGCAATTGCCCACACTGCCATATTTTCTGAGTCCTGAAGAATAAATCCACAGGCAAAATTATAGGTTGTCAGGCTCATGAAAAGTAATGTCATTCTGTTTACCCTTCTCTCCTTGCCATTAGAGTGACACCAACCTACCACAAAACTGTTTTTTTTCCTATCTTTTTTTGTATTAAGTGCTGATTGCCCTATTTACTCTTTGTTTCTTCCTGTTCGTACAAATTATTTTTTGTTACTGCATCAAAGAAATATGAACAAATTGTCAATGTCAGAGCTCTTGTTGGATGAATACCAAGCAGAGTGCTAAACAGACTTAAAATCATTCTTGCTAAGCCTCACAAAAAATACGAGGTCAATATTATAATCTCCATTTTACCGATAAGGCAACTGAGGCTCTCAGAGATTAAATAACTTACTCAAGAAGATAATGCAAATATTACCGTAAACAGCCAAGATGGGATTTGAAAATAAGTCTATTTGCAAAATCTTTATTTTATCAAACACTGAGTCCTGATTATTTTTTATCCTCTTAAAATTTAGTATTTTCAATATGTTCTGTTATTGGAGCAATTAACAAAGTAGACGATACTTTAAAAAGCAGATTACCTAAACACATCTTATTTTATCTATTAACCCTTTTTTGAATATGTTTATTTAATTATGAATTATATGAATGATTTTGCCCAAACTAGTAATTTCCAGATCAGCTTTTAATCTGTCATTTTATGAATGATATAATAAAACATGAAGCAACTGTCTACATTGCCACATTTCCAGGGTCCTCTAGAATAAACTTACAGGAAAATGAAATGGTGGGATCTAATGAGAAAAGTACAAATATATGAAGCTTAACTACTAGTGATTTGAATTTTCTTTCAAGGGTCCTGCTAATTATAAGCACTTTAAAAAGTTACTTGGGTAACCCTGCTGGATTTCATCACTACTCTGAAGCTTCTGAACCCTCAGGTTTTCTAAAGTATTTTAAGTAAGAAGATAAAGTGCATGATGATTAAGGCAGCTGGATCCCACATGGCTGACTGTGGTTCAAATCCTGGACTCAGCAGTTTGAGAAACATGCAGGGTACATGTATGTGCATGTCTAAAATACTAAGAGGAGAATAGAGGAGAAGGGATTGTGGCATGACTATGCCCCATGAGGGTGCTCCCTCACTTTCCCTCTCTCTTTCTCTCTTTCTCCCTCTGTCTCTCTCCAGTGAGTGCACATACCCTTTGGCACATTTTTTTAAAAGGATCATAAAGCAAGCAAACATTAACAAATGGCATTCTGAGAGATAAGAAAGTTTTCTTGGAAAGTAATTCAATTAATATTGCCTTAGGAGTGGTTAGAACCCTAGGGATCAGACTCAGGGTTTTCCTTGAGATGCCTCTGTGAATGCATTAGGCCCACAGAAAAACAAGATAAACTGGACCAGCAGATTCTGTAATGGTTATGTCACTGGACTCTCACATAGTCGACTGTGGTTCAAGTTCCAGACCTGGTGGCTTAAAACTCATGCCAGGTGCGGGTGCGTGCTTGTCCAAAATCCTGAAAGGAGAAGGAATTGTGGTATGGCCATCCCCCCCAGGGGTTGATTTCCTGCTTTCTTCTTACTTTCTTCTGTTTCTATTTCTGGGGAGCACACATGCCCTCTACCAGAAATCTCTCTCTAAAAAAAAATAAATAAATAAAAGACAAAAGATAAACAAGATAAACTTAACTATTATCTGGATAATGTTAATGTATAAGTAATTCCCCTAAAAGTGGGAGAGAGGGAAGCAAAGACTGCCAAGACAGTAATTATTCAAATAGTTTTGGGGGAGGGAGATTCTTAACAAGTGCAATTACATGTACATCTTTTCCATATTAAAGTAGATTCATTCCTGTTCATGTGGTGGTCAGAGGCCTGCCCTTAACTCCTTTCTACTGGTGTATTTAACGTGACCCCTATTATTTCCAGAAACACTGTTTCCTCAGGACCACACTGTACTAAATAGTAATCATAATAACAATATAGCAAGTTTAAAATCCAAATCGTACTAAAAGTCAGATGTGTATAAATGCACCTTACCTTAAGACCATTTAACTTGGCTCTCACGTTTCCATTTTCACTGATGGCAAAAAATTCTTACCTTGCCAATCCAAAGTAACTCAGTCACTTGCAGTTTTTGGAAATCAGCTACTTTTTCGTTAACACTTATTTGAAAATAAGGATTCTCCATTTTTGTTCTTCTTCCCTTTTTCCCCTAAGGAACCTGTTTCTAGGGAACTCATATGTATTAATAGCTATCTGATGAGGTAAAAAAGCACCTGATACATATGCCATCCCATTCTCAATTGAGCTGCTACCACCTGGTTTTTGGACACACTGAGCAGGGGTCACTAAGGGCCAAGGCCTTTGCTATGGTCTCAGTCACAAGCTTCACATACTTTTCCAGACTTTCCTCCTTTGTAAATTTCAGACATAAAATTTTGCTACATTCATATCTACTTCCTCATTTATCTTTTTTAAAAAAAATTTTAGAGAGGTTTTTGTGATAGGGCATGTGCACTCACTAGAGAGACGGAGACAAGAGGGACAAAAAGCAAGAAATCTCTTCTCCTCCTTTCTCCTGAGGGAGTTTAGGCATGCATGCACATATGCCTGGAAAGAGTAATTTTAAGCCACTGGGTCCAGGGAGTCAACTACATGGGAGTTCAGTGATGTAACCGTTATGCCATCTGCTGATCCCTCCACTTCCTCATTTAAACAGAAAAATAGTCATCTTCTTCAACCAGTGCCTCTTTAACATACAGGTCCCATGTTGGGTACATGATTTACCTACAAAGCTTAGTTTCCTAAGATATTCCTTGGAGGGACAAGACATGAATCCTTGTTCTCTCAGATTTTTCCTCAAACCGTAGTAACTTCTTTATCCCCTTCCCTTCCTTGGAATCCTGAAAGCCCCTTCTCAGAAACCTAGGAAGCTGCTAAATCTTGGTCACCTTCCTTTATATCCTTCTACACATATTATGTTCAAATGACTACTGTTCCAGTGATGGAAATTTTTCTCCAACACCATCGAATCCCCATGCTTCCTAGCTCTATCACATTTTTTTTTCTCTTCCAAAAAGATGGCTAT